AATTCACAAAAATAATGTAATTAAAAAAACCTTACAATTAGTCTCTATGTTTTGATTTAGAGACCTGCATATCTGAGACAGCCTCTTCCAGTTTACCATCATCTTTGCATTTGATCTTTAATCTTTACTTCATGCATAAAGAACTCCTTCATGTTCGATTCAAACGAAGTATTCACTTTGAACAATGTTTTATTTATAAAATCTAATTGCTGCAGAATAATACGAGCAGAGAGTGAATTTTTTTATTCTGATGAACTAACAGAAAGATGAAATAACGAGGCGCCAGTAGATCGTAGACCGTAGACGGTGTCGGTTTACGGGGCGTCAGCATATCGATTTTCCACAAGTGTAATCGAAACGTTTGAGGAAGGATTTTTTTTGGTTTTTAGTCTGGTCTTTCAGTGTTTAACCATAGTCGTGAAAAAAGAAATGCATAATAAACCTAACTGTTCGGCGTACATTTAGTTATGAATTTCTTTTTTTATTATTATATCTGCTCGCTTTCTTCTCTGGTTACGCAAAAAGGGGAAGAGCATTTATAGTCTCGCGTAACGGGTTTCATCTGCCCGCAATAATGATACTTTGTCTTAGTTATTGCATTGCACGATCCGGTGCAAGAATATGCGGAACAGTTCTAGTGAGGATCTGATTACAAAAATGCATTTAACAATTTTTTGTTTAATTTCAAGAAAATAATCCGCTGATGTCAGATTTAATCCTAAGCTTATTATTATATAAAGACAAAGCGTTAGAAGAAATCTCAAGAACAACCGAAATATTTACCATGCAATTTGGTAGCTTTCTTATATTGTACATAGCTGTAATTGTCAGAGAGAAAGAACGTTCTATGCAATTTCCTTCTGACTCCAGTCGTTAAGAAGTATTTGACGATGGACGAAATAATTAATCGATTACTCCTGAAGTATTCGAGATAGAGAAAAAATTGTATACGATCTACAACATATATTATATGAACAAATAATAATAATCGTGAGTAAAATTATATCAAGCAGGAAATATTTTCTATAGTTCCATATAGTGACTTAAA